ATGCAACATGGCAAATCAAAAGATTTTTCTAAAGATAGGTGCAAAAATGATAGCATTTTTTTACTTGGATTTCATTAACTAGCTGCGTAACAAGAACATGACCAATTTAAGTTTATAGGACAACTAAACTATCAATTTAACAAAAAATTACCGTCAACTACAGACGTGTCATCCATCGATTCCGCCATGTTTCTCATTGACACGCCCCCAACTCGGAAACTCGGGGCTTAAAGAAAATTTTGAGTTTCCCACTCGTAATAACGACTTTGTGGTGGCGTTCATGTGCGTTCAACTCGTAAATACGATCTATCCGACATGACTTGAACGCACCATTACACTCTTAATTCCTATGTTAACAGTAAGGGTGTCCTAACTTTGTCACACATGACTTTTTCTTTTTGGCTTTATTTTTGTTAAATAAATAATGACACGGTGTAATATGTTGTGTGTTGTTGTTCATCTGAGGTTTTATATTCCAAATTTTAAGACCTGCCAAGGACAAGATATTTTTTTTATTATGTCCTGATACAGAAAACCATGGAATTCAATAGAGTGTCCTAACTTTTTCACATGACTGTATATCCACTATCCTCCACCTTAACGTATGTGCCATGCAGGCCATGGGACTACATGGCACACCTTCGGTTGGAGAGAGTGAGAAAAACACAAGTGCACTCCCATAATCAGCAGAGACCAATACACATAGGCAACCTGAGTATTATCCTGCTTGGGCTTAAGCAAAAAATCATTTATAATGAGCTTTTGATTCAATTTTGCCTTAACAGTGACCTTTGAGCAGCCTGCAGCCTAGCAATAAATGTTCATGTTAGCCACTTGTAGACCAATCTGCATTTAGCACTTTGTGCATTACAGGTTGGTGGGCACACATCCAATCCTACAGTGCTGCATGCATAACAGCAAAACCAAAACTTCTCCAGCACGTTTTATAATAGAGAACGAAGCCCCATTTGTTTGTTGTACATGTATAAAATAGATTCAGTGCACTGTATACACAAGCTCTTTAATGCATCTTTCAGGAAGCTGTACCTTGACTACTGTGCTTGTGATATTTTTAGGCTGTTTACATCTTGTTGTGTCCACTCCCATGCCTCATTTTCTCAAAATTATGTATCCTCCACTGATTTCAGCATGCTTGATGTTTTGGCTATGGAGATGCAATTTTCTCCATTTTATACTTTGACACATTTCTTCACACATTTTTCACCACACTGGACAGTTGTGTCTATGAGCGTAATTGCATTTGTTTATTTTATTTATTTTTTCAGCCTCATGTTATCGGATGCCTGTTAAAGACTGAGGAGACAAATGTAATGTGTGGAACTGAGACTAGACACTGAGAACAGACACTGAGACCCTTTTGCATCTGTAAATTGGCACATTCTAAAAACAGATGTCCAGTTACTTTTTATGCGTATTTTTTTATGTAGCTACAAATTTGCATAAACTGCGCAGAATTTTCCATTTCACTCTCTTCCTAAGTCTCAATGTTACTTAGTGTAGCCTCAAGGATTGTCGTACTAAAGAAACATAAATAGGTTTTCGCACTTCAAGTATGAACAAAAGTGATGTTGATGTGTTTGCATTAAATATTAGATTGCACAATATATTAGAGTAAACTGAAAGATCAGAAAGGGCAACGTTTATTTAGCAGTCTCTATATATCTTGGTCTTTATTCAATCTGTCATACCACAAAAAGACAAACTTACTATTGAAAAATGCCTGTAGAAAACGTATCTTGTAGACTACATTATATATGTCTCTTGACAACAATCCCTTGAGAAGATTATGGAGTTATCTGTTTCTTATATATTATGACATACATCAGAATGAAATGGACTATCAAATTTTGAGCAGCCCTAGAAGTAGCTGGTCAGCATGGATAGATGGTGAAAGAATAGTTTCGAATTTTAGAATGCAGTACATACATGTGACTGCCCATATTCACAAAATGACACCTACTGGGTCTGTTCAGTCATGTTGAGGCAGAAATTGCAATAAAGACACTATTATTCTTAATAAACCCCAGAAAAGCTAAACAATATAAGTGAAAAGCATAGGAAAGGTCATCAAACCTTTAGTAGTTCCTGGATGTGTGCAGCACCTAACACTCTGCATAATCGTCTGAAGGATCCCGGCTTTAGAAATGAATGGTTGAACAAGATCCCTGATCATCTGTGAGCAGACAAAAGCACTGTTGATCATTTCAAATGCGAAAGGTAAATTTTTAAAAGCAGAGCACCAAAAAATGGACGTTTAATCCTAAGGGTCAGAAAAAAAATGGTTGTTAAAAAATAAATTACTGTTCTTGCCACAAAATCTTTGAGTAGCTTTATAAGTGGCCCTTAAAGAAAAGAAAAAAGACTCTTCTAAACAAACACTAATGTAATATTTATGAGTAAGACTGAGTAGAAAGGTCAGGAAAGCTCAATAACTGTTTCCTTAATTACTTAGCATTTTGTGAAAACTCATCACTACTGTAAATTGCCATATTTCCTACCTCTCTTATTCTTATTTCAATGCTAATTATCAAAGAAAGTAAAATGAATCAATGTATAAATAAAATCACTTTTAAATAAATGCTAATAAACACCGAGGCTACCAAAAAGATTTATTTCTGTTTAGCTGTTCAGATAAGCCTCAGGTGGTTGGATACCTCTGATTTTGACTATAATTGAGTGTCATTCAGTCTGACACCTCCAGGTGCCCACAGAAGAGACAAAATTGTATTTAAAAAGGTGTATGAGTCATGACTAATGCATTTACATATTTAAAGTCTTAAAAGGCAGCAAAAGGTAGGAAGACAGGGTGAAACATGGTCAAGTAAAAAAAACTAATTTATGACTGTTTTTGCCGCAAGAAACCTTGACTAGCATAATGGCCCGTTCAAGCACTTTGCAGGTCATGAAGATTGTTCATGTAAAGAGGCATGTCGCTGCATTTACACTGGCCTAGGTGCAATTATCTCAAATGATGATTATATGACATGAATTCCTCCGTGATTTTCTCTTGATTGCTGATTTTTTTCAATGAAGAGGATGTGTGATTGGAGAACAGACTATGGCAAATCCTCTTAGAGCTTCCTGTGTTTTGCTACCCAGTGATAAAAGCACTGTTTAAGGTGACCTTTAGGTTACGTGATGTTACATTACATGCCCAGAAGCACTGCATGAACATGGTAGATTTCCAATATACCAATAAACTTTTTGGCACTAGAGTTGGGAGAAATAAAAGTGACTTTTCATGTAAATTTGTGTAAATGCAGAAATCTGAAATGCTGATCTTATGGACAGCAGGGAGCTGATGCCACGTCAGCGCTCTCACTCTGAGATTTCTGTTGCATATGGGCCCAGGTGACTCCTATCCCCTTCAATCTATGAAGGTGACCTGAGCCAGACCTCCAGTCGTTTCTTTCTCACTCTCTCTGCACACACTTAGACTTGCTAATTCTTCTTCCTTTTCAGCACTGCACCCTGTGCAGGTTCTGGGCTCTAATAGTTTCTTTTGTGCGCTGGAAATGGAGCTCAGGCTCTGGCAGATAAGTATGGGGTGGGAGGCCATTCGGCTCATCTCTCCAGCACATCTCATTGGCCAAACATGGAGGGGAGACGATCGCTAAGACACCGGTTTACAGGCAGGAGAGCATGATGGATACAGAGAATCTGTTAAGCCTTTAGTCAATAAGGCTACAAGGTACTGCGTGAAGATTCCCGTGGGTTGCTTTAGTAATGGGTGCTGATGGTTTGGAGGATTCACAAGTACGTGGGACTCACTGGTTATATATTTGATTTCTAACTGGTATGTGTGATAAAGCACTAACATTAAGATATAATGGGATGCGATGGCCAACATTGAGGAATATTACCTTTAAAAGTTACCTGCAAACTGTCAGTGCAGACAAATTTGTTGATTACAATGGGAGCAATCAAGTTTTGTTATTCCATGTTTTTTGCAGTTTTACACCCACTCTGAATCGACGACTGAAAAAGAAAAAAAAAAACATGCAATTTATGCAAGTATGTCAAATTGTTTTAAATGTTGGTCCATGTAAAGTGCTAATAATAAATATTGGGCCATTTCGGTGTGTTTCAATTCACTGTGAATTATTTCAATTAATGGACACTTTTGACAGATATGACAACAGATATATGAAATGACTAACCTAGATGATGCAAGACAAATGAAAGCATACAGTAAGTGGTACAAAGTTAAACTTTAAGGGCCCTATCATACACCCGGCGCAATGCGGCGCAAGTGTTTTTGCTAGTTTCAGCCCGACTTGGTTCTCATTTTCCCATCCTGCGCCACGTTGTTTAAATAGCAAATGCATTTGCGCCCATTTGTGCACCCATGATGGGCGTGCTGGTCTAAAAAAGAGGTGTGTTTAGGCGCATTGTTGGCACGTTGCTATTTTGAGGAACTGAAAATAGACTGCGCCATTGACCAACAAAAACCTGGTCTAAAGTCAATGGCCCAGTAGTTTTTTTGTTATTTAAAGAATGCGTAAGTATAGGCGGGTCCACAGCGCGGCGTACACTCTGCTTATTACACACACATGGACGCACAGCAGCACACAAACATGACAAATATTAAAAATTAAAGGATTGCAATGTAAAAGATTACTATTGTGTAGGCTACATAAATATAAATGTGCCTACATGTCATAATGGATAGTCATTGCATGTATCAGAATAGGCTACCTATTTGCTCGCACACGAGCAGCTCCGTTTCCTCTCTGGAGACGCTTTCTGTCTTTGCACTTGCAAATTCCGCTGTGTAAACAGCGAATCCGCCATGGCAGGAGGCAACTGGCTCTTAAAGGGAATGGGAGATGAGACTCTGATTGGTTTATGGCACGTTACGCCCAAAAAACACCCATTACTCATTACGAGAATAGGGACAACCCGTTTAAACCATGCGCCCTTCACACAGACCGTTTTCCCAAAAACAAACGCAAAAGTGGATTCGGACACGCCCTGAGTGCAGCTGCGCCGTGCGCTTTAGACCATGCGCTTAGATCGTTAAAATAGGGTCCTAACTGTTACAGTAGCCTAGTGAAAATATTGAAAAAACATGAAAACACATTGAAGCATAACATGTTATTCATGACACATTACTAGCGATGATTTCCTTGTACAGTAAAGGAAATCTATGTACAGTCTACTGTGACAGTATCATTTGTATTGTGACTGTATCAAACGGTAACATGACACTTTTATTTACTAACAATTATTACTATAAACTATATACCTATAGTATTTACTTCGAAGAATGCCATGGTACTAACATGGCACAAGTAATGTCAAGGTAGGCTACTTTTTGGCATTTTACACGTTTTAATGTACTTGTTTACCTGAGGTGACTCGTTCACAAGCTGCACATGCAGGTGGAATTTCATAAACGCCTCTTCCATCGCCAACAAATGCTATGAACCTTTTACAGGTTTGGTTTCAATGGATTCTAGGTGAATTTTTACTTTGTCTAGCGCGTTTTGTTTTGTTTTTTCCCTGTCTTTTAAAGTCATTCGTTAACGTTTTAATTACTGAAAGAAACCGCTCAAAACGATTAAAGGCGTGCGTGAGCTGTCAGAATGATTCAGACTGAATCGCGAACCGATTCAAACGATTCGTTTTGGAGTCGTTCAAAGGAATTGACACAACAGCGTGGTTCACTCGTAAATCGTTCTGATTTTTTAAATTCAGTTTTAACTGACAATTGCTTATTCATCATGTTTGTCTTAGCCTGTATGATAGCCTACCAGTAATCTATAATAATGATTAAACTCTGTTTTATCTGTCCACCCCTTTATATACATGAAAAACATCCTCAATTAAAACATTCAAAATATAGATAGGAATAAAACTGTAAAATTTGGGTTAGCCTATGCAAGTTCTATTGATGTGGAGATTTATGGGAGAAAAAAAAACTCATTCTGTAAAAACTGGCTTTTAAAATATGTATTATAGCCTTGATTGAATTGAAATCTACAGACAATAAAGTGTAATAAAATATACACTTAAATGTGTTTTTAGGATGTTTTCTTAAAACATGGAAGCAAAATAGGCTAATCCAAGTCAAAATAGTCAAAAAAAATAAATAAATAGCCTAAATAAAATAAATAAAACTGTTCTTTTTTCTTTTCTTTTCTTCTTTTTCTTTATTGTAATTATTATTATTTACTGTACAATTTTATTATTTTATTTAATATGAAGGAATCATGCAGGAAAGAGAAAAAAAATGGACCTGTGATGAGATCACATTTGTTACAATTTTTCTTATTTGATTAGCAGATAAGTGATATATGCAGAATCTTAAATATCCCTTCCTAATTTCATTTTCAAAGTTCTAAAACAATCGTTATAAATAAAGGGATAGTTATGCACTTGATTATGATTTGTTGAGCTGTGTTTGAAGCCGCTGTAAATTATTATAAAAACATACACCTGTGACCTCATTACATCAGTATTGTTGCTTGGCAGACACTATAATCCTGCTACTGTGCCAAAGAAATTGTTTCAAGATATCAGATTTCATTGCGAATTCTGATTTAACATGTGAGCTACAAGTGCATTCAAAAAGTTTTATAAAAACAATAACCTCCGTGAAGAGGGTTTTAGGCACTCTACTCCACGTCATGCCCAACAGCTCTCCTTAACTGTTCTAAATTATAAACTATAGGCCTACACCACGGCTACTTGAGGCTTACTGGTTTAGTTTATTTACAAGTAAAAATAATAATAATAATAATAATAATGCATTATTTTCAGATTCCACTGTATCAGACTCTATTATTTTTAAGGTATGTGGGATTAACGGTCTTAAATGTGAACTTGTATGTTTATGTGAGATCTCTTTTACTGCCTCCCTCCTCTGCCTTATCTTTCCATCCAGATTCTCACCCATCTTATCTCTCCTCCTCTGAGACCATCAGAAGATATACAAGAGGATATGCATGTGATGAAGTCAGAGATCACATGCTATATATAATGTCTTTGACCTGAACTGTGCAAACACTGAACAGGCCTGCCTGACAGCAGCACACTTCACTTATCAACCCTTATACATGTACCCAACCAAGCACTGGAAGGCTGGATTTGCCTGTTTGAGGCTGGTTCACCACTCTAGGGTCTATGTACTTTGTAGTCTCAGAGTTTTGTTGGAAGAAGAAACGACACCTGTACCTTAAAGATGGTACTACTTTAGCATGGCTGGTGGGTCTGAAACAGAGACTCTTTTGTGTAGAAAAGTCCTCTCAGCTCAGGGTGGGACTACAGACCCCAAACTTCTGAAGTGTAGAGACAACTAAGTCAGCCGTTTTCCGTGAAAAGTTTTAACACGGTACTACATTTTCTACAGTGAATAGCCTATTTACAAAAACAAGCCACAACAATCTATTTCCGCTGAAACATTGGATTCAGTAAGCAGGATTCTCAGACACCCACCTGATAAAAGCTTGACTGATGTGAAGCCGATATAATTAATGTGGGTGTTTAAGAGCAACTCACAGAAATGACTGACACCCTGTAATTTTCACCAACCGCTCAAGCTATAATTTACCTCATTATGCCACACAAAGGCACTTTTTATTATTTCTGAAAAAAGTTTTTTTTAATAGCGAAGACTTTGTCGTTCTCATGCAATCACTGCAACTCTGCATGCTGTTTTTCATTTTATATGATCTCATGGGTCTTTGTAGATTATAATTATTAGCAACTGACCTCTACGACTCACAGCCCACTGAAAACGAAGGATTTTAAATATGCTTGATTTATTTTGCTTTTGATTAGCTCAACAAACAGTAAAGTCGTGATCATGAGCATTTTTTAAATTAGTATTATTTGCATTTAATTTCTTTCCCAAAGTGCTATAGATCACTGATTCACTGAAACTGAAATCTTTATCTGCAAGTCGTTTTTAAAAGAACATGCCCACATATCAGAGATCACTGGAATCACTTTTAAAATGAAACAAAACAGAAATATAAATATGTATTTTTAAGCAAATCTGACTGTCCCGATGTCCCGAAATAAGACAATTTAAATTGCATAACAATTTAAATTATGCAAGGAATTAAAATACACTTTTTAATAAAACTTCATGGCGGTGTTCTTACTTTTGTTAACATTGTCAGTCTTCATACTGAAGGTTTTCATTCCACATTTCAATGTTTTGTCTTCATTTTAAATTATTGTGCTTCATAGAACTTGATAGAAACTCTATATCGCAACACCAAAAAACAAAATGCCTAGCACATTTAATACATGCATGATATGAAGAAAATATAGTTTTGTTAGCACTGCAGAAATTTTTGTCTGACTGTGGTGAAAGTTCAATAGATAGAGTCTGAATAATTTATAATACATATCTTACACTTTTGAATCTGATAGTTCGTTATTCCTTGACGCGTAAACTTTTTGTTCTTTAGCTTATTTTGACAAAGTACCAATTTGTTATAACATGAAATTGCTTTACCAAAAACAGGTGTTTTGCGGTTTGCTGATGGGAATTGTTTTTTTTTTTTAGCGTACTGTGTAGTCTATTCGAGGTAAGCAGGTAAAATGTTTCCACTAATCAAATCACCTCATGTAATCAACATAGCGAAGAGTTTTAATCTACTGCAAATTCTTCATCTGCCGGAGGGGACAAATCTACTGACGTCTTTTGTGAACCAGAGAAAATGATTCACTGTGAGGTCGTCTCTTTTCTCAGCACTCTGAGACACAATGTTCCAGCCTCATTTCAATTACACTGCCAACTCATGCAGATCAATAATTAGCTATTATGAAATTAGACACTGATAAGCCATTTATTTATCTGACAAGTGAAAGCCCAGAGAGATTGAAGCTCAGGGTGATGCTGGGAAAGGAACGGAGAGCATCAATCAGCCCTACACCGCTACACTCAAAAGTTTTTCATCACTTCTTCAGCAGTGTACGATCCGGAAAGTAAGCAGACACCTTCCGCTTGGCTAAGACATTTTATCTACTTTGTTTGTTTGTACCAATGTCAGGAGAAGGGTACACTCATGACATAAATTTACTCCTGAAAAAGAAAAGGAAAAAAAGGTAAAAATGAAAATTTCATTTCAATCCAAGATGGATGATGATAGATTTGTTTCTTCATGGGAAAAGATTTGGAGAAATTTAGCATTACATCACTTGCCAACCAATGGATACACTGCAGTGAATGGGTGCCGTCAGAATGAGAGTATATATACAAAATATCACACACACACAAAATGTTTAAAGGCTAATATACATGCAATAGTTTAGTTTTATATGGCTTTTTCCATCCCTCTTTAACGTTTAGAATTAAACAGGGTATTGTTGCTAATATTTAAGACTTCTATATACAAATATACTTCTACATAATGCTAATGCATGTCACTTAGTACACTCTTAAAAATAAAGGTGCTTCAAAAAGGTTCTTCAAGCGATGCTATAGAAGAACCATTTTTGGTTCCACAAAGAACCATTCAGTCAAAGGTTCTTTAAAGAACCATCTCTTGCTTACCTTTTTGTAATCTGAAGAACCTTTTTTCACCACAAAGAACCTTTTGTGAAACAGAAAGGTTCTTCAGATGTTAAAGGTTCTTTATGGAACCATTTAGACAAAAAGGTTCTTCTATGGCATCGTGAAGCACCTTTATTTTTAAGAGTGTACATTAAACTACAGCTATCACAAACAGGCCGTGCTGAGACGCCTCATTCCCTTTGATATTTAAGGTCATTGTTTGGGAAAAAGCCTCTGATTGTTCCTGCTCTGACAAAGCAAGACACCGAGTCAGTTTGAAGAGAATAAACCCCTTCACAAGTTTCATTAAAGGACACCTGATTGAATAAAGTGTGGTGGTAATACAACATCTTTATTAGCACTTCTATAGTAATGCAGTCATCTATTGCGGACCTGCCTGTCAGACTACAGATCACACAGAGGTCAATCATGCCAGCATTATTTCCACAGATCATCTGACACATTTATTGATTGTTTGATTCATTCATTAGCAACCAAGCATAGTAATACAACACAAAGAATGCATATGTGAAAATTAGACAAAATAGAGAGATTCTGAAGTGCGCATCCAATGGAGGCTTGACTATATGAAGCCACGATTATTGCAGTGAATGAGCTGTAGGTCACATCACATGCAGTACAGCTGGATTACATTCACACACATTCATTCTTTATAGAATGCACTTTCCATAAAGAATATACTGTAAAGGCTGCAATGCAATTACATATTCTATTAAGACAGTATGCAATTTCAGAAGCTTGGCAACGTAAAAAAGACCCTACAAATATCGCAAGTCAATCTAAAAATGTGCTTATTTTAAATATTGCTTTCTTAATGCATGCAGTAGGGTTATTGCAAATCAGACACCCTGAAACCTCAGCTCATCACAAGTCTCAAGCAATGTACTCTGGTCTTAACACACTGTAATGAATTCAGAATAAGCTGAGGCCACAGCGCAGTCGTGATGCTATTA